TTTTCTGCACGTAATTGAGTTAAACGTTCAGCAGCTTGTTCTTTTCTTCGAGCAACAATAAGTGCTTGCTGACGAAATACAGCTAAATTATCAGCTGTAGGATCTTTAGTTAAAACACGTTTTTCATGAAGTTTATTAATGACAGAATTTAATTCAGTAATCTAGAAATATATATATATATATGGACAAATAAGTCTTGAAAAAGAAAATGAAATATTTACTTTAGCTCGATAATTAGTTATTTCAGTTTGTCCTAAAGCTTTATTATTTGTTACTTCTTCATAATATTTAAGTTTAATTTTCATTTGACTCAATTGTTTTGGAAATTTATCCGTAACTAAATAACTATTGACTTGATTTTCTTCTTCCATTCGTTTCATAATTGCTTAAATAAAGAAAATAATTAAAACGAGTTTTTGTTTTTGTTATATAAATTACCTTCAGGTGATTGATCAAACGATGATGAACGTTGATCAGCTATTTGTCGTTCGAGCCGTTGTATTTTTTGTTCAAGTTGATGTATAACATTATTTAAATCTTGTTTCATATTATTTAATTTTTCTTCTTTATCAACTTCTTGTCGATAAGTTTTTGCTAATTCAATTTGTGATGCTGGGACTTTTTGTACTTTAGTTTTTTGTTTTTCAAGTCGTTTTTTGTAATGTTTCTTTTTCATCTTCAAGTTGTTTTATATCACGTCGAAGATCTTCGATTGTATGTGGTGTTGATGTTAATTCTTTATATTCACGATGTACTTCTTTAAATTCTTCCATTAATTCATCAGACTAGATAATATATATGCATATAAATACAGAAATAAATAAAACTATTTTTTTGATTTACTCGTTCATGTTGTTCAGCAATTTCTGGATCACTTAAAAATTCACTTGGCACGTCTATTCTCGATAAATACCTGCCTAGATAAGCACGTTCTTTATGTTCAGGTATTTTTTCAAGTAACCATTGTAAAATAGGAAAAACAACACTTTTATCACCACTGACTAAATTCTGTCGAAATGTATTGCTAGACGAAAAAGAAAAAGAAATTAAAAATTAAATCGAATTTTTTAATATAACATACACATCCGTTTCAAGCTTCGGACGATAACCAAGCATTTTTAATGTATTCATATGTCGAGTAGCAGTTTTATCCGGTTCTTCATCACGAATATCGATTTTATGCTAAATATTATATTATAATGAATTAATAAACAGAAGAAATTTAATTACCGATGGATCATATGGATCAACAACAGCAAAGACATCAGTTAAAACCTGTAATAATTGATTATTTGTTAAATTATCAAACGTAAGAATATTGTAATCCTTTCGATTGAAAGGTGGTCGTTTTAATTGTTCAACAATAAATTTCAATTGTTCAACCATGGTTAGAAATGAACAGAAGTATTACTATATGCAAAAATGATGTTTATAATTAGTAGTTATCCACCATTACTGTATATGATAACTTAGTGCAATCTCTTATGTCCCTCTACTATGATAAAATTTTGTAGATGGCGCTATTAAATTAACTTAGAGAAGATTTATGGATAAATTATTATCAGGAAGATGATATGTAGAAAAACAACATTAAGACGAAGAAAAAAAAGTCATTATTAGACAAAATAGACATTGAATGAATCTGTACCACTGTAATAATAATGTAACATTAATCATTTCCCGAAACTTTTGATCTTAGATGATATTGATGTTGCTTCACCAAATATTCTGTTTCTTATATATCGATCATAATTGACATGTCATTTACTAATAGATGGAAAAATGAGACATTGAATCATATATTGAATTTCATAGCAGAATGATTTTGATGAAACGTTCTAAATCAGAAGAAGTTGTACGATCTTCTATTGAATCAGCAATATAGGGAATATCACCAGGACAGAAAAAGATGCTCGGTGACCTTTTTTAATCTTTGGACTTATAAATTTTTTTTATCGTATGGGTACTCTTAATTCATTTTGAAAGGCTTCTTTTCTATAAATTTCAACTACTCAAAAAAATTATTAGCACGACTGAACTTGAACAGAATAGTTTTTTAATAAAATGCAATTATGTCAAACAGCTTTTGTTGCATAATGTCTATCGAACAAGTTGTAAGCAATAAGGATTCAAATTCAATTAAACATACAACAGAAAATGGGTGATGATAGTAGTACTGAAGATAACACAGATTATCAACAAATTTCAAACTCTACAAAATTTGTTATTATGCTTTCTCTTCAAGTGCCATCTCTCCTTTGCTATATACTAATTTTCGTATTCTTCTTTATTAACAAGACAATTCGTACAGCTCCACAAAATTATGCACTCTTTATTGTTTTATTTCTTGATTTTACTATCGTTGGAGTTGACATTTCATGGATGATATCATTGTATCATACAGGTAGTTCACCATTTAAATCTTTTATCTTTTGTGAAATTTGGCGATTTTCTGATTTTCCTGTTTGGACGATGTGTCAAATGTTAGTATCATGGATATCATTTGAACGACATATTCTAATTTTTCATAACCGTTTTCTGGTAGGAAAATGGAGAATGATGTCTATATTGTATATTTATTCGTGTGAGAAGTCTTATACATTTGAAAATGTTCTATGTAGGTATCCTTGCTATTTAAACTATGCTAGCATAGCCTTGTGGGAATTTATCGTTAATTATATGCTTACAACAATATGTATTATAATATTTAGTGTTGGTCTTTTTATTCGCGTTCTAAATTCAAGAAGACGTCTTACACAATCGCTTAGCTGGCGAAAGCACAGTCGAATGCCTTTTCAAACTGCTTTCATATCAGGTCTCTTTATCATATCAATTTTTCCTTTTTGTATTGTAAATCTGTTCTCTTTAATCAGTTACTCTGATTGGACAACAAGAGCTCTAGAATATTGTAATTTTATCTCCTATCTAAATCCTCTTTTTTTGCTTTTTGTATATCTCATTTCACTACCTGGAGTTTGGACAAACGTTCATAAAATCATCTATCGTTTAAAAAATCGACGAATCGCTCCCCTACCTCATATTGGTTAATGTACATCTTAAATCTATCATCATATTATTGTGTATCTACTTCATTGTTTTGTATATCATAAAATAAATAAATGAGAAAAATTCTCTGTGAGATTCATGAAAGAAAAGTACGAATTAAACATTATATCTGATAAGAACCAATATTTAGTGTAAATATTGTTGCTTATTTAAAAAAAAATTTTATTTGAATGATAGATCTCAATTTTATGTAAGTACAATTAAGTTGGTTAATCATCGAATAATATCAGTTTTTTTTCTTATTTATTTTATCATAAATTGTCAAATAATTATGAAACTGATAACAATCTAATTGTCTATTCAGGCTTAACTGCCACAAAAAAGACACAATCATATTCATAATGAAGCATTGATCGTTCATTTTTAATATATCCTGCTCGAATAGGTAATTTTTCTGTCTAAAGATAAAACAACAATTATTTCCTATAAAAAAAAAAGAAATCAGACGACCTACCTCTATTTGAAATCCATAGCTAAGAATAGCTGTTCGTAAATCAGCATAACTTATTTCAAAAGACATTTCATTTGGAATATCTTCAAAATGATAAAGTAATGGTCCTGAAAAGAAAATCATTTATTTTTCAAAAGAAGATGTATTAAAAATTTAATACAAACCAAAATTAATCCATGCACCACCAGGTTTAAGAATTTTCCATAATCGTTCAACATATTCTATAACATTATGAGCTGTATCAATAAAGAAACATGTTGTTACACAATCCCAATCATCTGAAAAAATGACAATAATTTATCAATTAATTGATATGAAAATAATCAAACTTGGATCATTGTATATTTGAAGAAAATCACCAGCGGACATACTAAATCGAGAATCCATTGGTAGTGAAGATGTATCAACATCAGGAAATTGAACAGCACGTGATTGATCATCATTTGTAATATTATTACAGAAGTTTAATATCCATGGATAAATTGTATGAGCATTTATTTGTGAACATCTATTCAAGAATATTATAGATAATAGATATGAAAATAAAAAAATGATTATTTTACTTATTCAATACAAAATGAGATGCAATTAACATATATAAACTAACTTCATTGCCTTGGCATGCATAACCAAGTCGAGCAAATTCCCAACTTAAACGACCAAGACCAGCACCGGGTACAAGAATTTGAATAGGTGAATAATGATTACTAAAATTAAATGTTGAAATCCTTTTTTATTTTGTTTATAAAATTTACCTTAGGCCACCTTCATTTGTCGTAGGTGGAAAACGTCGTTTAACTTCATCAATAATTGGTTTATAACAAACAAATCGTTCTTGTTCACCATCTTGAGTCCAATCACGAACAAATTGTTTTATTGTTGTTTTTACTTTATCCATATCCATTGATGTTACACCAGATGGTGGTGACAATGAATCTTGTTCAGTTGACTGGAAGAAGACTAATCGTACAGATGAATGAATAATCAACAGATTTCTTTTTTGTAAATCTGTTTAACTTACCATTTGATTTGTTTCTGCAGAATTTGAAAATATCGAATAATTATTAAATAAATGTTCACAACCATTAAGGATTTGTCGGATGACGAAATCACTAAAACAAAAATCATTAGTAATTTATTTGAAAACTAGAAATATTATTATTATTATTTACTTTCGATCAATACATTTAAGTAATTGAGCCAGATGAGTTTCATATTTAGGTACAAGATTTTTATGTGCATCAGATAATCGATTATATGAATAAAATGCACGACGAACTCGGTTTCGAGCTAATGTTCTAAATAGATACATCGTTAATTTTAAGAAAAATTTATAAGAAGAAAATCTTACTTGTAATAAAGAAATGCACTAATTACTTTTCGAAAATGTTTTTCTTCTTCATCTTCATTTGTTATTGTTTGAGTATCACTATCATTCGAAACAGTAGAGGTTTCTTCATGATTATGTGTTGATTTTGCCATGTATACGATTGTTTTGTTTTATATTCAACAATA